AGAAAAAAATGACTCTTCTGTTCTTTTTTCTTGTGATGTCATTTCTATTCTTTAATGTTACTATTTTCCCTTTAACTAATTGGGCATGGCTTAGGTTTCAAGTTTTTCCCAAGTCCCACAGCTCCTAGAATCCTACTTTGATCCCAGTTTTCTTGAATAATCTCCTATTGTGATTATTTCGAGAGATTTGGCTGTGGCTTACTTGAAAATTCCAATGAAGGCCCTGCTTAAATTGAGACAGTCTTTGATCTCCTTTCTTTAGTCCTTACTACTCACCTATTCTTTTTTGTCTTCCATATGAATAAACTCCTCTGCCTTTTTCTATTCTCCTCCAAAAAGGCTAGGGAGCAGTTTAAAAATATATATTATTAGAATGCATATTTTACTACACAGCTGTTTTCATTGAGAGCATTATGCTAAGCGAAATAAGCCAGCCAGAGAAAGGTAAGTATCACATGATCTCACTCATTTGTGGAATATAATGAGCAACATAAACTGATGAACAAAAACAGATCCAGAGACACAGAAGCATCGAACAGACCGTCAAACCTCAGAGGGAAAGCATGAGAGGGTGGTGGTGGTGGTGGTGGTGTGTGTGTGTGTGTGTGGGGGGGGATAAGAGATCAACCAAAGGACTTGTATGCATGCATATGAGCATAACCAAAGGACACAGACAGTAAGGGGGTGAGGGCCTGTGCTGGGGGGCGGGGGACGGGCTGGGAGAGGTCAATGGGGGAAAAAGGAGACATATATAATACTTTCAACAATAAAGAAGTAAAAAAAAAAGTAATGGGATGTTTCTGAGTAATGATTCTTTAGGGTCACAAAGGTAGAAAAAAATAAAAAAAAATCAATTTTGTAATATAATGCTAGAATTGGTTCCTAAAAGATAATAATTTTAAAAATAAAAAATATAATGAATGATACATTTTAGCCAAAATCAAATGTTCATATTATAAAAGTATTAAGAGTATTTAAAAAACCAATCATTATAAGCAACTGACAAATTTTTAAACAGAAACTTTTCTCCCTAGCTGGTTTGGCCCAGTGGATAGAGCGTTGGCCTGTGGGCCGACAGGTCCCAGGTTTGATTTCAGTCGAGGTCATGTGCCCAGGTTGCAGGCTTGATCCCCAGTAGGGGGGCATGCAGGAGGCAGCAGATCCATGATTCTCTCTCATCACTGATGTTTCTATCTCTCTCTCCCTCTCCCTTCCTCTCTGAAATCAATAAAAATATTTTTTTAAAAAAATAAAAAATAAATAAATAAAAAGAAATTTTCACCCTAGCTGGTTTGGTCATTGGGTAGGACGTTGGCCTGCTTACTGAAGGTTTCAATTCTGGTTGGGGCACATGCCGGGGTTGTGGGCTTGATCCCCCGTGGGGGACATGCAGGAGGCAGCCGATTAATGATTCTCTCTTATCATTGATATCATTGATGTTTCTATCTCTCTCTCCCTTTCCCTTCTTCTCTGAAATCAATAAAATATATTAAAAATAAATAAAGAAAAAGAAAATTTTCAGGGAGCATTTTGTCTTTTTCAGCCAAGAATAAATAAATGAATTTTTTGTGTGTCATGATTTATCCTAAATGCCTTTATATCACATACATGTTTTATCTCCACATGGATGAGCTATCACAGATTATAACAATATGTCACACATTATAGATGACTTACTATGCAGGGGATAAAGTCAAAATATTAAAATGTAAGAGTCTCAGAATATGTTAACATTTTCTGCCACTTTTGCTTTGAATTATATAAATTTTTACTGACATTCACCTTTAATCCTGTATAATAACAATCGTGTAGAAGCAGTAGTTAAATGGTTAAATGATTGAGCTTTGAAGTTAGATGGCCTGGATTGAAATCCCAGTTCTGCTTTTTACTGGCTGCATGCCCCTTAGGTAAGTTATTAAATATCTTCGAGCCTCAGCTTCTACATCTGTAAAATTGACGTAAAGTTTAAAGAGCACATAGTGATTGAAACAGCATTGAGGTCAGAGTAACAGTTTAACAAATATTAATCCCTTTTAATTATGGCCTTTCTCCTGTGTGTGTGGCCCCTGCTTGAGCACTGTTAGTTTCCTACCCCCATAGTCAGCCTTCCTCTTTCATGCTGGCAGAACCCATCTTATGACAGGGTTCAAACATGTCTGATGCGCATTTTCCCAAGCCTCCCTCCTACTGGGGTACCACTATGTGACCCTGACTCCAGCCAATAATCCAAGGAGTAGTTTGCTAGCAGTGGGCAGATGGAGGAGGAAGAGGTGGTTCTGTTGGGATCCTTTATAGCTGTGGTGGGGACTGTCTGCCCCCCTCTCCCCCACTAAGGCCAGTGAAATCATTTGGTCTGGCCCAGCCAAGGCAACCACAGATGGGACTCCAAAATTCAATAAATCTAGGGGCTTTTTAAAAAATAGCAACATAGATTTATATTAAGTGAATTATATTAAGTGAATGATGTTATCAATATCCAAATGGCCCTTGGCAGAGAAAAGGTTCCCCACCCCTGCTTTATGGAAAAGATAATGGGGGATTAACCCTATGAAAATTTAGGGTTCTGGTACCTCAATGAATTTTCTTGGGTTTAATGGTCTGGGACATATTAGTTTGTCCTTTCAAAATGAAAGCTATTTCACTTTTCATCCCCTTGGATCAGTGTTTCTCAACCTTGGCTGCACATTAGAATCACCTGGGAATCTTTAAAATCCTGATTTCTGGGACCCATCCTCCCGAAATTCTGTTTCTTTGTTATGGGTTGGGGCCACAACATTAGTAACAAAGAAACGGGTGATTCTAATGTGCAGCCAAGGTTGAGAACCACTGCCTTAGATCATGGCTTTGGCTAGGGTCACTCACACAGGTACATTCGATGGGAACATGGCTGGGTCTGGAGAACTAATGGCTCCCGTGTCTGGCACCTCAGGTGAGTGGCTTAAATAGGTGAGATCTGGCTGCATTTTGCTCTATAGCAAGATAATCAGATGATTTCTTATATGGTACCTGGATTCTAAAAGGAAAGCAGAACTTGCTAGGTCTCTTGATTGTGGTTTTTGGATGGGCTGGAATGAATTATTGCTCATTTAAATAACAATAGAATAAGGGGTCTTAAGAAAAATTAATATCCAATCAGATTTCAGGAAAAGATTAGATTTAGAGGATGAGGAATCCCATATTTACTTTGACAATTCGGTTAAAATAGTTAATTTGTGAATCTTATAGAATCTTTTTGAGATTTTGTGAATGCTTCCTCTAATACCATTTAAAAATAAGTAGCTTTCATAAGGTTAGCCTAACTTATACTTACAATTATTATTTTTTAACTTTATTGTTGAAAGTATTACTTATGTCCCCCTTTTTCCCCCATTGACCCCTTCTAGCCCACCCCTAGGCCTTTACCACACTATTGTCTGTGTCCAGGGGTTATGCATATATGTATATAAATTCTTAGGTTAATCTCTTCCCACCCCCACCCTCCCTCTGAGATGCGACATTCTATTCCAGGCTTCTATGTCTCTATACTCTATCAGTATCACATGATTTTATTCATATGTGGAATCTAATGAACAAAATAAACTAATGCACAAAATATATCCAGACATATAATTATTTTTCTAATTGTGACAAATTAGCAAGGTTAGCTAGAATCCTAGGTTAGTGGTGGAAAGGCCCTCGGAATTATATATTTTGCCCCAACTCCACTGTCTTTATTTTTATTTTATTTTTTGTGATAAATCTGGCTCAGAGAAGTTAGTCAACTTGTCGGAGGTCAAGATACATCAGTGAGAGAGTAGATACTTATATCTCCATTCCCTAGTGCTTTTACCAGGTGCATATATGAAAGTTGTGCTTATTATGAATGAACTTGTAATTCTCATGAACTTTTGGCTGGACAATCACACTGCTGTGGGAAAAAATGTGTTGCTGGAATAATCAATGGAAAATATTTTTTAGCAAAATCAATAATGAGCAATACCACAGTTAAAATGCTCAGCTGACAGTTGTTCTATTTGTGAATATGATGGCATACATCCTTAACATAAATTTTAAGTTGAAGTGTTGGATAAAGTTTTATACTTTTCCAAATAAAATCTGGCTTGCTTGTTCCGGTGTTTATAAACCATAGCAGCTGATTGTAGCACAGATAAAAGAATTTGAGACGTGAAGGCGTCTTGAAGATAACCGCCCTATTTTCTCATTTAACTGAAGAAAACAGAGGCCCAAAGAGTGGCTCTTTGTCTCAGTTAACAATTCCACATATTTAAAATGAGGTGTCTTCCAGTGGTGGTTGCTTTGGCTTTTTCAAATCTTCCCTTTAACAAGCAAAAGCAGGGCACTTCCAGGCCAAGCAGAAAATTCTGAATCTATCAACTTTATTTCCCATTCTAGTTGAGTTCAGGTAAGACTTTCCATAACAAATTCTGCTCCTTCCATAAAACAAAACACTGGGGAGCGGGGGAAGGCACGGAGCGTTTAAACTGAGAAGCAACAAAGAGACAAAGAGCCGCTCCCAGGCCCCGCCCCTCACTCCCGCCAATAGCAACAGGCGCCGGCGTCCGTTTTCCCGAGTCCGGCCAATGGGCTGCGCCGGCTGCGGGCCCGACGGAAGGGGCGGGGCAGGGCGGGGCGGCGGTTGCCAGAGAAGCCATCCGCTGGTTACCAGCTTTGCTTTGGTCCCTCTGCGCCTCAGCGGGCACAGTCCCACCGCCAGCGGTTCTAGGGGCTCGCCTGCTTCCGCTCAGGTCCCTGCCTTCCTTCCTAGCTTTCACCTGCTGCACTGCCCGCTGCGACCCGCCCCCTCCCAGCGGACCGGGGGCTGGAGAGCACAGGTACGCTGGCCGGGTCTCCCCAACACTCGCGGAGCCACCCTCTGGGACCCCTTTCATAGCGAGCGGCGGGCTGACGTCACGGCGACGTGCTGACGCAGCGGTGGGAGCGCAGGCGCGCTTGTTGCGGAGGGAAGCTTGAGTTTGCCAGGCGGGTGGGCGATTGCTCCAGCGGCGGGTCTGGGGGTCTGGGGGTCTGGGGCCAAGGGCACTAGTGGTTCCCGGAAGTGGAAGGCCCTCGCGTTCACCCAGGGCTAGACCTCAGCCCCCCGGGCCCACGCCCTCCGCTCCCCGAGACTGGCTGCCTGTGCTGGGAGAAGGGCCGGGAGGCTCGTCCTAGGAGGGGTGTAGTCCCTGGGACAGCGGAGCGGCCTTCAGAACGAAGCCCTGACCCGGCCGGCCGGGCACGGCGGGATTTCTTCACGGAACAGTGCTCTGAGCCTTGCGGCTGACTTTTAAGCGCCCGCCTTATGACGTAGCAGACAGTCCCTGCGTAGTAGGCCCTGGGCGCTGTGCATGAGAAATGCTCCTGGAAGCCTCGGGACACAATCCCTTCTCCAGGGTCCTATGTTCCAGGCGCTAGGAAACCCCTCCAGGTGTGTGGCCTTGGGCAGGTGGTGTAATGGTCCCCGCTTCAGTTTCCTCTGCTGTGGAATGGGGACAGCAGCCCCTCTGGAGTGGTTGTAACACAGGAGATTCAACCAGGGCCAGGTTTCCGGTGCAGGTGCTTAGTAGGTGGTGCTGCTTGTTGACTGAGAAACCAGAGGTGGCTGGTGCTGGGAATCAGGTCTATTGAGGAGACAGTTTCCCTAGAGCAGTGGTTCTCAACCTTGACTGCACATTAGAATCACCTGGGAAACTTTTTAAAATCCTGATTTCTGGGCCCCATCCTCCGGAAATTCTGTTTCTTTGTTACTAATGTTGTGGCCCCACCCCATAACAAACAGAATTTCCGGAGGATGAGGCCCAGAAATCAGGATTTTAAAAAGTTTCCCAGGTGATCTAATGTGCAGCCAAGGTTGAGAACCACTGTCCTATAGCCTCATGCATAGTAAGGCTTCAGGTGGTTTTGAATGAAGTGCTTGGAGTAGTTTGAAGCACCACTGGGTTCATTGTGGTGAAAGGAACACACCGCAGAGGCCTGTTTGCTTTTAAAATTGGTTTGGTTCCCTTCTGCTTGTAATAAAAATGCCATGGTCATGTTTGTAATTCTTTAACATCTAGGTGTCCATGTCCATTTTTTGCCCCCTCTCCTTTGATTTAGCAGTTGACGTGTATTAATGTGGTTTTTGTATCCTAAACACCCAAAGGTATGAGAAAATGGCTTTATTTATATTATTATTAATCATTATGCTTGGTCTGTACAAATGATGAAACTTAAAAGTCTGGGTATAGCAATGAATTTGACATAACATCTACCCACTGAGCACAATTCTGTTGGAAGTCAATAATTGTTTTCCCCGGGGCTCTGGTTTAGTAGTCAGTTTATGACTACGTTGAAGATGATTTGTAATAGTTCTGCAAAGAATAGGTTTCAAAAACTGTTTTAAAGATAGAGTTGGTTCTATACAGATGATTCAGGCCTGCAAGTAATTTTAGGAATCATTATTGATTGACTTGGGATGATAATTTAAAAAAAAAGATGAAAACATTTAAAGGGAAGACTGGGGGGAAAGCAGCCCCAACAGAATGAGCCAAAGAGGTCCTAAATAAAACAAACACAAAAACCCTCGCCTGTAAGTGCTTCAACTTAGTTTTGTTTGAACCTCACCACAGCTTTGGCTGGCAAAGGTTAGTCTCATTTTATAAAAGGAAAAAACCAGGCACATTGTGGCTAAGGATTGCCCATGTCAGGTGGCTCACAAGGACAAAAAAACTGATGAATCTTGCTCAATATTCTTTCATTTTAATATGCTGCATCTGGGTCATCAAGGAATGGTTAAATTATATTCTGCCTTGTACTCTGTTTGAAAAGGAAGAAATAATACTTTTAAAAGATTTTCTTCAGTCTGGTCTAAGTTAATTTTGATACTTAAAGGGATAAGCTATCATTTTCTGAAACGTGGAGCAATTGATTCAGATAGTTATGGGTAAATGAGGTGTTACATTTGATCACTTCTTTCTGTACTGATCTCTTGCTATTCTGGCATTCTAATTCCTTTGCTGTTCTTCATGTTTTTTTTTATCACCAGTGGAAACAACTTTTGATTTCTTCAAACATTTTTATAGAGAAAGAATGTTGAAATTTCATCTCTCTGAGACCCTAATAACCAGTTTCACTGCTTCTGTTCTCCTCCCTTCCATATGCCTAATTCCATTCTCCAAAATACCACTGGATTTGCCTTTTAAAGATGCACTTCTGATCTGTCATTCCCCTGCTTAAACTTATTTGATAGTTTGTTATAACCTTTAGGAAAAAATTCAAGCTCTTGAGTTTTGCATGCTGTTACTGTTTTCAGTGTGTCCAGTCTCATCTTTTGCCACTTGCCCTTGCAGTTCATGTTCCCTCATGATTCCTTGCTTTTGTTGGTGCTTTACCCTCTACCTGGAATGACTTTTGCTGTTCTGTTTTGCCACTCTCAAACTTGTTTGCAGGACTCAGCTGGGTTCCACCTCCTCCAGGAAGTCTCCCAGGATCCTGCCAGTTGGTGTTAGGTATCCTACATGCTTTCATGGCATCCCATGAGTTCCCTGTCACAGCCTTTAGCACACTAGAGTTTAGTGGTCTGCTCACTGTCTGCACTCTCTTTAGATTGTATTCTCTGCCTTCCAGGAGCCCAATCTTATTCATCCTTCATTTCCTTGTACAGAACATATTTTTTAATATGAACAGAATTTATAATACTAGTGTTATTAAAACCTGAGTGGATTAAGGCAAGTTTTTGTTATTTTCTGCTGTATAGATTCTTATATTTATTAATATTTTAGTGTCTTATGGCTTTGGTTGAAAACTGAGTTCTATCACTTCCTTATTTGTATCTTGGGCAAGCTATTTAACTTTTCTAAAACTTGTTTTTTTTTCATCTGTAGCTTTTGGATATTAATAGCAACCTGATTAGGATTTATGTGAGATGATGTGTATAAGGTCAGTCAGTGCTCCACTAATAAATGACAGAAGTTGTCCTCATGTTGAAGAAATGGAAAAAGCTTTCTGTTTATCTGGCAAAGGATGCTGACTTTACTTGGTATTAGACAATGTCCTGAACAATTTTTGGCCAGTATTCTAGTGGATAATTGGGTTTTATATGGGGCTCCTTTCTTTTCAAAAGTGTCCCCATTTGAGTCTAAATTATTTGATCACCCTAACATTTATGAGATCCTAAACTATGTCCTTCAGTGTGTTAGGTAATTTTTTAGGGCAGAAGGTGATGGATATGATATTTGTTACTACAGATTTAGTAGCAAATTAAAAGAAAACAAAAATATGAGCATTTATGGAGTAATTAAATTCTAAACTGCATGGTTCTCAAATATTATTAAATGTTTAGGATTCTTGGTGGTTTGGAGCAATCAGGGATATTTTGGGAAGGAGGAGGGACGGGCCTTGAAGTAATCAGTATTTACAAATCAGTCTCTCCTGATGTCAACTTTTTCCTATATTATCAAATCTGCAACCCTTTTATATTTAAATTCCTTTATTTATTGGACAGAGGAGTTAGGTAATTATTTATAGTCATGTTCCACATAATGAAATTTCAGTCAACATTGGACCCCATACACAATGATGGTCCCATCCTATCTAATAAAAGAGTAATATGCAAATTGACCATCACTCCAACACACAAGATGGCCACCCCCATGTGGACACAAGATGGCCTGCAGGGGAGGGCAGTTAGGGGTGACCAGGGTGGCAGTGGAGGGCAGTTGGGGGCGACCAGGCTGGCAGGGGAGGGCAGTTAGGGGTGACTAGGCCGGCAGGGGAGGGCAGTCGGAGGGGACCAGGCTGGCAAAGGAGGGCAGTTAGGGGCGACCAGGCCTGCAGTGGAGGGCAGTTAGGGGTGGCCAGGCCTGTAGGGGAGGGCAGTTGGGGGTGACCAGGCTGGCAGGGGAGGACAGTTAGGGGTGACTAGGCCAGCATGGGAGGGCAGTTAGGGGTGACTAGGCCGGCATGGGAGGGCAGTTAGGGGCGACCAGGTCGGCAGGGGAGAGCAGTTAGGGGTGACCAGGCCAGCAGGGGAGGGCAGTTAGGGCAATTGGGCCATTAGGGGAGCAGTTAGGCGTCGATCAGGTTGGCAGGGGAGTGGTTAGGGGCAATCAGGCAGGCAGGTGAGCGGTTGGGAGCCAGCAGTCCTGGATTGTGAGAGGAATGTCCGACTGCCCGTTTAGGCCCGATCCCGGGCAGGCGGACATCCCTCCAGGGGTCCCAAATTGGAGAGGGTGCAGGCTAGGCTGAGGGACACCTTCCTCCCCTAGCCCCACCCCCCGTGCACGAATTTCATGCACCGAGCCTCTAGTAAGATTAAAATGGAGCTGAAAATTTTCTGTCATCTAGTGATGTTATAGCCATCCTGACGTTGGAGCACAACAGATTACGTGTTTGTGATGATGATGCCGGTGAAACGAACCTGCTGTGCTGTCAGTCACATAAAAGTATAGCACATACAGTGTTGTACAATACATAATATGTGATAATAAATGACTATGTTACTGATTTATATATTCACTGTACTACAATTTTTATTGTTATTTTAGAGTGTACTCTTTCTACTTATAAAGATATTTGCTGTAAAACAGTATGCCATGTTATGCCGGCAGGAACCTCATATATCTATTTACCATGTTTCTTGACTATATCATTTCTCTTGTGTCTGGCATAATCTCATGTTGTTTTGTACAGTAACATGCTATACAAGTTTGTGGCCTAAGAGCAATGGACTATACCATATAGCCTAGATGTGTAGTAGGCTATACCATCTAGGTTTGTGAAGTGCACTCTATGATTTTCACAGAACAATAAAATTACCTGACGCATTTCTCAGAATGTATCCCCATCATTGAGTGGTGTATGAAATTCTCTGTATCAGAAAAAAATTTTTTTTTCTATTTATAGTAGCTTTTATTCATAAGATCAACTTTCTACTTTTGGTTATTTTTTACTTTTTGCCTATTTTCAAATTTCTTATACGTACATTTTTTTTTCATTATGGAGTCTAAAAAGCCTTACAATTACTTCTCTCGTAAACTTTTGACTAGTGTCTAGAATAGTGAGAGAAAGGAGAAGCTTTCCTATATCTATTTTGTCTTCCTTGCTGAATATTTCATAGTGAATTTTCTGTAGAAGCTTTGTGTGCCTTTGTTTGAAGCCAATGGGAGCTAATTTTCCAAGAATTAATGTTTGGCAAAAAAAATCTGCAAGATTAATATGCTTTTTTCATCAGAGAGATTAGTTTTAAATACATATTTGTCTGCAGATGGTTAGTTTAGAACAATCTAGGTGCTAAGAAAGGTCTCATGGACTGTGATCTTGCTTTTCTCTGACCATGGCCAGCATCACAGTCCCTGAACAGCCATCCCTCAAATGTTTGTTACTGGCCAAAATGGAACATAGTTTAGTGAGTGTAGCTGGATCAGCATAAACCCATGACCACTCCTGGAAAAAACTTTAAGAACATGCCTTTTTGGTAGAGGACTGGTAAAGTCATTACTATATAGGAAATTTAATTCTTTAAACATTAAAAATATTTTAAAATTGCTAATCTTTAGGGATTTGATCATTAAGTATATATGCAAAATATGTGTTTTTGTTTAACCACAAACAAGTTGTTCAAAAGTATTATTTATACATTTGTCAATTGGCAGTATATTCTACATAATTGAAATTATTTTCTTTTGAAACATCTGCTTTTCATACAAGAATACATTTGGTCCACTATAATGATAGCATTTTTAATGAAGGTAGGGCTTTTTATGCTAAAGAAAATTACTACATTGTTATTCAGCACACATATGCTTTTGGTTATAGTATTGTCACAACACAAAAATAGTGGAGTGCCTTGGAACCTCTGAACAATTTTTATCCTGGAAAATACTTCTAGATTGTAAGACTGTGATTGTTGATATTTCAGTGGAAATATCTGAGATTTGATTTATATTTTTCATGTTTTGAGGAATCAGTAATGAAGATAACCATTTTAATGTTGGGCTAAAAGTCATTCTAAAGTCCCTATTTTTTTTACAATGTTTTAATTTTATTTGTTTACCCTTTAAAATAAAACACAATTACTTTTATAGGTGATGAAGCAGAAAAATGTTGTATGATTTTATCTTGTGATAAAACTTTTAGAAAAATTGTATAAGTAGCTGTCAGTAGCCAACAAAACCAAGTAAGAACTCATTAAAAATACAATACCAAACTGAATCTTATAAAATATTTCCTACAAATTGAAGATCCCTAACCCCTCACATTGATTTTAAAAATTTTATTCCAAATATAGGAACCATTTTTCTTTTAATGATCCCCCAAAAGATGAATCAAAGGGTGACTAAAGTTTTTATTCATCCTATTCATTAATTGCTTTAAGCCTTGAGTCCTCTCCTTCAATTATTGCTTAACTTGTACAAGGCTTATTGGTGCTGAGAATTCAAATATAAATAAGACATTCTTTCTTGAGATTCTAGTGTACAGAGAAGCAAATATTTAAACAAATTAATGACTGAAAGATATAGTTCCTCTCTGAGTCGAGTAGCTATTGCAGCTGAACAAAGCAGTAGATGATAAAATTCTCTTGATTGCAGTGACTTATCTAGAGCATACTCTTTTTCATCCTTAAGTTGGTTTATTTAATTTCGTGTATGTGTATGTTTTTAATTCTTCTAAACTATAGATAGCTCAAATATTGTTACTCCCTAATAAGGGATGTTGCATGTTGGCAGCATTCAAGTAGATCATCTTAGACTATCTGTAGGTTTATTCAGCAGTTCCATTTGGACATGAGTTTCTGGTATTTCCAAAATATGAGTATGCTTTTCATTGGTCTGTATCCTAAATATTTGCTTCTCTGATACATATAGAATCTTCACACAAAAGTAGATACATTTTTTACAGACACTTTGGAAGGTTTCTGAATTGTTAATATTGTGAATAACTCTCAACCTGTAATCTTGCATTTACCTAAAGTATTGAAAATTCTTAAACATATGTATTTTATAACACAAATATATAAAAATAAATTACAAAGAGCTAACTATCTCTGAAGAAATGCAGAAAGTCTTAAATATAATATTTGATTTTGTATAAACTGAAATCAAGACACATTACTATATATTAGAGTTGTGAAAACAGCCTTAATGATTGCTGAAATACTAACACATTACTTAAACTGGAACCATTTTAAAGGAATTAATAAATATTCACATTTAAAAAATGACATCTCCAAGTTTGGGTGAAAAAATTAGATCAGTAAAATTTAGAAGGAATGACATCTCTCTAATCATTATCACCAAAAACTGTCCTAGATTGAGCTTGGAAATAGGAGTAAGTGAGTTTAATTTTGAAAGGTCTACTTTGAAAGAAATGACTTACCTTTTTTATGTAGCTATTATTGTCAAATACTTTCAAAAATATGTTAAATTTTACTGGTCTATGCATAATTAATATACATTTCTTTTTGGATGGATCCAATGAAACAGCACTATCATTAACCCATGGTGGTTTTTTTTTAATAAATATGTTTTTTATAAATACAAATATGCTCTAAAGATATTTTTTTGGAGTTTCATTAATGTGTGGTAAACTGTGTGGTATGTAACCCATGTTTTTTATATCCGTTTTCTAGTCTGACTGGATTAAGATATTATAATACTTCAAGAAATCGATTTATAAAAGTTTCTACATCCTGTGATCATATATAGAAAATAGTGGACCTTTTGGAAACTGTGTATGGATATTGACAATTGTTGAATGGTTGTGCTGTGCAATTTTGTTACTATTTTAAATTAGTATCACAATTAGTAGCAGTTAAAATCCCTATTTGTTGAGTTTCGACTGTGAAATATTTTTTTACTCATCTTTAAATTTTTATTATAGGGTAATGACATAAAAAAGAATCTAATGAAATGATAAGTTTAATAACGAAATTATTTCCTAACTTTCAGCTTATGTGGAGAAGTTGTTGTGGAAGCCATCTATAAATTCATTGACCGAATTTATGGAGAAGCCTGCAAATGATGGAAGTCATTCAGAACTGATTTCCCATTTTAAAAGTAGACCAGAAAAAGAACATTTACCACAGCACATCAGTGAAAGTCATCTCAGCTGGTATTCTCAACAATAGGGGATATCTAATTTTCTGATTTCAGTGTTTCATGTTTTGCCTGTATTGTAAATTATTTGAATTAAATACAGCATTCTTTCTAGAATATCTTCTTCAAATCTAGTAGTTAACATTTATTTAATCTTATTACAGTATACTCATTTAGCAGAATTTGGCTAGTTTTTTTGGAATCTCATTGAATAAAATTAAAAACGAAAACCTTATTTATTAAGAATTTATAAGGTATAAAGTGTTTTAACTAAGGTAAATGAAGATATAAATTCTGAAATACTGGAAATGTAGTTCATGAGCACCAATTTGCTGTCACTTGCTATATTGTTATTCAACAAATACCTGCCATATTTTGCTTTTTTTAGGATGAGGCATGTACTCATTATTTATATGACATCTTGCTCCCCTAAATGACAATCTTAACATACCATTGTTAGTATGAATGGTATGGTCCAGCTTCTAGTTTAGCTTGTTATAAATGAAAATATTCAGTCATGTGTAATCATTCTTGACTTTCTGCCCATGGTTTTTAATAATGGGCAATTGTCATTCATGGCCAGCATGTTCTTAGGCCCATCACTTTAAGCCAGTGGTGCTTAAGAACACAATCTACTTTTTTATATAGTCTCTAAGATGCCATCAAATGCTGATGAGCCATTATATATGTTCCGTAAAGAAAGAGAAAAGCTGCCAATTAAAGAAAGACATGGGATTTTATTTATAAATATTGAAAAAGCTCCTTAGTTATACATAGATTTTTATTCCAAATAACTGTGCTTTTATAAAAATGTACGTATAATAAATGAGTTAAGGTATTCTCAAAATTTTTCTGTACTTAAGTCCAACTCTTCTAAGTCATTTTTTGACTCAAGAGTTGTCCTTGTTGCCCTAACCAGTTTGGCTCAGTGGATAGAGCGTCAGCCTGTGGACTGAAAGGTCTCAGGTTCGATTCCGGTCAAGGGCATGTACCTTGGTTGCGGGCACATCCCCAGTGGGAGGTGTGCAGGAGGCAGCTGATCGATGTTTCTAACTCTTTATCCCTCTCCCTTCCTCTCTGTAAAAAATCAATAAAATATATATTTTAAAAAAAAGAGTTGTCCTTGCTTTTAAGATTATTGGTGATAATGGCATTTTTTAGGAGCATCTCTAACTGAAATAAAATTTCTTGCTGCTAGACTCTAAATTACAATATGCAGCAAGCTTACATTGAAGTCTTGCTTCTGTAATGTTGCTAAACATTCCTTGTTCACCAGCTCCCTCAGCCCTTTTCTATGACCCATCATTCCTAGAGGTTAAAAAAGTGCCGCACCCCATCTCTGGGATATTCGGCAAAGCATTAGACACTTAATCTATAAGCATGAGGCACGTACAGGATAGACAGCTAAAGACTTCCTCCTGAGTGACAAAGATTGTAAAAAGCATCCTGATTTCAGGGTATAACAATGTGACCTCCCCCATCAAAAAAATTTAGACTGATACACAGTAGTGTTTAGGTAAAACATAATGAAGAAGGCAAATACTATCAGTTTTGTCCTGAATGATAATTATGATAAAGCCAAATGTGAAGGATTTTTAGATATATGGAGAGCTTTAGTTTTTTGTTTTCCACTTGTTTAGATTATTCATTCTCCTCGGGAAATTTTTGTTTGAAGAGTAGTAAGTTTCAAGAAAGGGTTTGGGCATAAGGTCTAGAAAGAGAAATATTTTGGATTTGAAATAAAGGAGAAGGAAGGGAAGAAAAAAAAGACAAACACTCCCACAAATTGTTTTACAAACCAGAAAAGGGGTGTTGAATAATGATCAAATGGCACAGTGAAAACACTGCTGTTGGTGCTCTTTATGTTTTATATATCTTATCATTTTAAAAGCTGTCTTTCTGTTTATAGTAAATGTAGAAAAAATATGGGAGTATTGAAAAGTTCATTGCATTTTCAGTGATAATTTACTGTTATACTTTGCAGAGCAATTTATGGAACTGTAATATTTAGGTAAGCTATGTTATATATGCATAAAAATATACCTCATTTATGTGACAGATTTAACTTAAATTTTGTTTGTGCATATCTAATTAGTCTGAAGGAGGACATCCTAAATGAAAAGACTGAGTTGGAAGCAACATTTAAGGAAGCTGAGTTGGCAGCCTATGCTGTAGAATCACTTTTACCATGTGAGGACACCATTGAAGAAATTAGTTTTGAAAATGTGAGTACTTGACTTGTGAACATCTAATAAAATGAAAAGTTAGCATAATATTCAGATTGCACTAACTGAGGTCTCATACCTTAAAGTAGTTATGCTCATATACTGGTATTTGACATAAAAAAAATGCAGGCTTACCAGTGTCCTTTATTCCACAATTCTTTTCCTCAAAGATAGTCTCAGGCATGCACTTGATAAGAGGCTAAGCTAGAAACTGTTTACCTTGGTGCTTGAATGAAAAGTTAGCATAATATTCAGATTGCACTAACTGAGGTCTCATACCTTAAAGTAGTTATGCTCATATACTGGTATTTGACATAAAAAAAATGCAGGCTTACCAGTGTCCTTTATTCCACAATTCTTTTCCTCAAAGATAGTCTCAGGCATGCACTTGATAAGAGGCTAAGCTAGCAACTGTTTACCTTGGTGCTTTCACCTGGAGTTGAATTAGAGAGTCAGCTTTTCTCAAGAGTGAGTTTAAAACCAAAATATTCTGAAAGACGAAATATATCTATTTTCTGTAATGTTTTGTGGAATAGAAATCTCTAAAATTTCAGTGCACTAAAGTGTGGGTTAGGGACACAAAATAGATTATAAACTATTGGTTTTATCAAAATAAATGCCAGAAATATTTTATAGTTTAAGCTTTTATTTTGATTTCATTTTACTTAATGTACTATGTAATAGAGTCTATTACTCTTAATAAACTTGGCAGTATTTACTATTACTATGTACAAAAGAATGATTTTGTTACTAAGAAAAATGTATTCTTTGATAACAGTAATATATTTTAGAGTGTCTTAGTACTATGTCTTAACTATGTATGTGGTTCTTATATTTTGTCGGGCTAATCTTTCTGCATCCAATATGAAGAAGAACTTTTAAACAGAAGGAAATATTAACAAAAGAATTAGATACTTTTAAACATGTGAAACGAACTTTAGAACACCTTCTTAGACAGAATACCAACAAGTAAGGAACGTTAATCACTAATTTAATAGTGATATGTCTCACTTAAGGCTATATTATTTTTCAAACTGTAGAAATTAAAATGTTGGTATATTTGAGATGGAATTTTTGAATTTTTGTTTGAAATGGCAATCATTAAACTAACCCTTTTAATGTTTCATAAATAGTTCTACGTGAGAGCAGCATATTTTTGTAGAAATATATTTTCATTATCTATCTCAAAAACTTTGTTATAATGTTATAATTCATTTCAGCCGATTATAATAACACTAGAGGCCCGGTGCACAAA